CTATTTCCCCAGCCCCTCTTAAAAATAATAAATAATTTCGAGTCACTGTCTCATTAAGTGACACTGAACATGTGGACATGGACTTACGGTCCTCCTGCCGCAGTCCCCTCAGTGCCGGGAGTCACAGGCATTGCCCACTGAGCCTTGCTCCATCAGTATATTTGATCTACCTCCAATCCAGGAAGAGGAAGGTGTGAAGACAAGGAAGGTGCCCTCCAAAACTTAAGCAGTGTAGCTCTCTGTCTACTTTCATGACTATCGCTGGGTATTTTAACAAACTAGCCTTAGACACATCTCCAATGTTACTGTGAAAAAATACATAAATATATTGAAATATATGTATATTTGGAACAAAGGTTGTTATGAGGTTGCTTCTTATTATTCCTGGGGCTCCTGAAAACCTTCTTTGGAAACATGGGTCCTTCTGAGTTTTAAACACACCTTCATCTTTTTGGCTTATCACCCCATTTCTATTTTTATAAGCTTCTATCAGAGAATCGTTAATACTGCTTGGTTTCTGCTGGTGATGTCACCCAGTGCACTTGAACCCAGTGTCAAGCATTCATTATGTGTCTTATTACAGTTGGTTGAGAAACAGGAAGAACCATTGTCCTTTTGAAATAAGCTGTTGGATGACTGTTTTGCCTGATTATTTTGGGGTTGGGTGGAATGTTATTGACTGTATAAGCCATTGGTAAATGCAACATTGTAGGTTATGAGGAAACAGTATTTATATTGTTGATAAAATTGCCTTGCTGTAAAATTTCCAGGTGAATTTTGTGTTCATACAGTGAGGGATTCTATAGCCCTTGTAGCAAAATAAAATTTGATGTGGGTGAAAGTTAATGCGAGAGGTAGCTCTATGTAACTGTGTGTTGGTATGGATTTGACTTGAGCTCTTCATGACCCAAGGTTCTGAATAATGTGAATTTGCATTCTTATTTAACCACAGATACATATATTGTAACTCTTCTCATTGTGTGCAGTTTCTTAAACTAGCGAATTCCTCTTCCTTTGTATTTTTTACATGTCAAAAGTGAATCTTAGTGTGTCTGAACTTTTTAGAAACGAAGATTGATTGAAAACTTTTACAATAAAGTACTTTTGCACTCACTTTTTGCTGTGTTTGTGTTGTGTTGAGTATTTATATTGATTTTCTTTGGATTAGAAGTGATTTTTTTCCTATCTGGGAGGGTAACTTCCTCTTCTATATGAATAAGGTAAAGCTGGGTTTTGTTGGGTGAGCAGTAGCCTCCTGTTGAGGCTTGTATTAGATATCCCTCCAAAGCCCAAGGCAGTCATAAGTGGGGCTTTCTCAGAGGTGGCTGCTCTAGAGTGCGTGACACTGGAATTGATACCTTATGTAACACTAGACTCAAGGACACTCTTAAGGGTGTGATTGCTGCCAGCCATAAGCAGCCTGGATAAGATACGAGGGACAGAAAGAGCTGTAGTTGTTCCTTGACAATATTTTTGCTGTCTCTTGACAATGAACTGTTTCTTTTCTGGGATGCCCCTCTCCCATGTGCTACTCTGCCTAGGAGCCAGCCAACTACAGACTGAAACCTCTACAAACTGTAAGCCGAATGAACTTTTCCTTCTTCAACTTTGAATGTCGGGTGTTTTTTTAGTTGCTACTAAGACATCTCCTGTCAGTTCCAGTGAGAGCAGGATGAAACCACCCATCCCCTCCTCTTTTTCTGAGAATCCTTTCTAGCAGGACCAGGTACCTAAAAGGGCTAGAAAGATGGCCTTGTCTATAGGGAGCCCTTCCTGGTCCTCGTCTAGGTCCAAGAAGTTTATATTTGTAATCTCACAAATACGTCATTGGAATCCCATCAAGTTAATTCCAATCTACCACTTCCAGCACAACCCATGGCGAGAATAAAGACACTGAGGCATACTTATAGTTATGGGGAGCCAAGGAGTCCTAAGTCCAGCCATGGTGATGGCTATACAGAACAAAGGCCTCAACCCAGGGTTGAACCCAGGTTTTATTCAGTCATAAAGGAGGAGTGACTTGAGGATGAATGACTGAGAATTGCAGGAAGTAGGTGAGTACTATGAGCTGGGTTAGGTAGGAGGCATTTACCTCTGTGATATGCAGGAAAAGTAATTTGCATTATTATTGAGATCGTATCTACCTCAATAGATGCTATTGAGATAGGTACTGGTGCTTCAGCTCCGATGTGTAATCTTTCAAGCCCCACCCAGGAAGTCATAGTGTTTATCTTGAGGCTTGATCCCAGCTGGCAGTGTGGATCATTGGCTCTTCATACTGTCTCAGTCTAGCTCATATTACAGAGCAGCAGGTGTGGGTTATCAGGGAAACACATGTGCTATCTTCAAAGACTACCACCAGCACCTCGGCTAGACCAATATGCGCTGCTTCAAGCCAACTGAAGGGATAAGGAAAAGTCCTAGCCAGCTCTGTACCTATTAATACATGGATATAGAGTCAGGCACAGCCTGACAAAATGGAGACAACTGCTCTTCTTTCAAGGAGAGTTGCCCAGGTGGTCCTCAACATTGTCCATGTCTGGAGACAGAACCTGGTTTAGTTCTTTCCTTCTCTTTGGAAAGCACCAAATTGCAAGTACCTTGCTGTGGGTTTTGGCATAGGGAAGACTTTTTGGTTCCATTGATATGAAAATAACTAATTTGTGTTTGAAAGCATTTTGAAGTGTTTGAAAAAAATACACTTGCCACTTGCATATTCTATACATTGTTTTGTCATTAGCGATAAATGTATTTGTCATCATACATAATAATAATTAGAATAATTTCTGGTGCACACTAGTGTTTAAACAAGTATCTGCAAAATATTGAAGGGTTTGAGGTGAAAAACTTTTTCTGGAAGCCACTTAAATATAGTTAGGTTAACAAAAACACTTTCCTATCTCTGCCAACAGAAATTCTAGCCACACATATCCAGTAATCTCTGCTTTCTTTTCAATTTAATTTTTTGTACATGTTTTTCTTTTTTCTTTTTTGTGTATTTAGTACAGGGTCTATAAGGTCTACTAGGTCTCACTACATAGATTGGACCCCTAATGCTTCTCCTGTTTTCAGCCTACCAAGCACTGGGATTACAGGCGTGCACCACCACGCCCAGTCTCAATTGCCATCTCAGCATGCCCTAGGGGTGGGGCCAGCAGGGCATGCCAGGGATTGAACCCTGGGTGCTGCACTGTGTCTAAGGAGGTGCTTTAGTCCACAGAGCTATCTGTCCAGCACTTGTACATATTTTTAAAAGGTTGATTAGTGATATTGGACATTGAACCTTGGGTCTTGAGTATACTAAAACACAGGTTTACCACTGAGCTACGACCCTCAGACTCTTAAGTGTTGTATCTTACAGAAAGCTGTACAGGATACCAGAGGAGAAGAAGATACTAAGAAGGGAAGATGTTTTATTATTTGGCAGTCAGGTCCTGCAAAGATGAAAGAGGAAACAGAAGGGAAAGTGTGCCCTAGTTACCTGAGCATAGTGGTGCACACTGTAATCCCAACGTTCTGGGTAGCTTAGGCAGGAAGACCAATCTGAACACCTCAGTCACTTAGTGAGACCCTGTCTCAGAATAAGAAAGGGCTGAGGCTGGGGAGATAGCTCGGTAGTCTAAGTGCTTGCCTGGCAAGTGCAAGGATCCAGGTTCGATCCCTGGTACTGCATGCCTTGCTGGCCCTAGAACTGGGTGGGTGGGTGCATGCTGGGGAGTCTGAGACAGGAGGGTTACTATGAGTCTGAACTTCATGGCAAGACTTTGTACCAAATAAATACATAAAAGATTTTAAAAATATAATAAAAAAATAATGAAGGACTGGGACTGCAGTTCAGTATAAATGCCCTGGGTTTCATCCTCAGTACAAAGCAAAACAAAATAAGACAAACAAACACACCCCCTTCCATTTAACATCAATGCTTAGGTGTAAAAATTAAGACAAACTGGAGGCTAGGGAGGCCCCGGAGGAGAGTGGCTGGTATAATTTAGCTGGAGAAGGCCTGGCATAGGGTTCAAGCAGAGCTTGGCTCTGTGGTGGGATCTCAATGGCAGATCCACTGCCTCTGCATGTGTTTCTGTGTTCTTAGGATGAAGTTTATCCTCTTCTTTTTTTTTTTCTCTCTTATGTGAATTCCTGTACTGTTCAGAGAGTGATCAGCATAGACAAAAATGAGAAAAATAGGACTAGAGATGTAGCTCAGAGGAACAGTGCCTGCCTAGCATGCTTGAGGCCTTGTGCTCAATCCCCACTATCCTAACGAGCAGATAAGCAAACAGGAAATGTAATAACCCAGACTCCTCCTTCTCTGCCATTACTGTGTCATTGTGTGATTTAAATCAGGTAATTCACACTATTGCTTGTAGCTTCATCAGACACCACTGAATTAACATCAAAACAGCTCTGTCATCTTATAGCTGGAACACTAAATCCTGGAGAGTTGGAAGGATCAGGTAGAGTCCTACAGTTTTAGGGAGCAAAACCCACCTATTGGACAACCATGGAGAACGAGGGCCTCAATCCCCTGGGTGCCTATGGTCAGGCTCAGCTCAGGCATGGGTGACACCTGTAAGTCTGAAGGAGCACAGGTGGTTGGAGGAAGGGATACATTGGGAGGTGTGGCCATGGGAGACTCTGAGGAAAAGCACTCAGTGCTTCCCCCAAGCACTTGCAAAAGAAGCCTCAAGGAAGGAGTGAGGGATTTGCACTGATCTATTCACTTAGCTGAAATGGATTTTCTGAATGTCTGAGAAAATACCCTGTACCCAGAGTTAGGGAAGGAAAGTTTTGTTTAGCTCAAGGTTGGTGGAGGTTTCAGTCCATACTCAGCTGGCTCCAAGGTAGAGTGGCATATGGCAGAGGGCAGCCTTTCACAGCATGAGCGGCGGAAAATAGGAAAGAGCAAAAGGAGGGGCAGCGGCTGCAGCATTTAGCAAGCCTCTTTCATTTCCTTACATTTGTATGCAGGTTACTCACCCCAGGGCTAGTGTAACACTCATACCCATAATCCCAGACCTGGATCATGAATTAATCTTAAAGCCCCACCATGACTGCATGAGGTTTGAGGGGGGAGGCACCTAGACACAACCCATAGCATCCTCCACCCGGAATATTTGAAGTGTCTGTCACTGGGTTGATTGGAACAATGTCAGCATTTGAACTCATTATAAGCAGTAGGGTTTCCCACCCTTATTTCATTATTAAAAGAAAGTGTTTGTGTACAGATGGAGGACCTATTTATAGCTGCTAGCATGAACGTAAATGGAAACCACAGAGCCTGCAGTGGCCTCACACGCTGTACCTCTGCATTTATGCTGTGTGCAGTGTGAAGCCGGGTGTGGGGGAGGTGGGGCTTTCTGGTTACATGTGTGAAAGGTAAGTGTAGTGTAGATGCTCAGCCTGACTCTAAATGCAGTGACCCTTTAATTGAGGGGTTGCATCCCTAACCCCATGAAATCACACACAAATATGTTTATCTGTGTGAGTGTGCATTTTTTGCTAATAGGGTACACAGAAATTCAAAAATATGCATAAAATTGGATCAATATTATATATAAATACAGTATTTTGACATCAAAACTTATTTACTAGAAGATTCTATTTTCTCTATATTATATATGTTAAATATATATTCCATATATTAAATAAACTCAGAATTTTTCTCATAATTTTTATTTATAAAAGTTAATATTTTAATTTGACAAACAATGTTACATACATTACAGTGGGAATTTTGATGCACTGTCAAGAGCTCTTCTGCTCAAAAAAATGTTTTTTTCATATAGCCTCATTAGAAGAACAGCTTTCTTTGACTAAGTGTTTACACTGAATACATTCCTGATTTAGGGCATGTGTTGCTTGGGACAGGTAGTGCTTTCATGAGACAAAGCTTAGCTGCAGATAGCTTTCTGTATTAATATTTTACCCAACTGCTTTCCACTATGGCTTTATAATCATGTGGGAAATTTCAACACAAACTCATCAATCTGATGTTTCTGTCTTGCTGGGTGATTGCTGGGTGGCCCACCACGTGTGTGTTGACCTCTTTCTCCACACATCATGAAAGATCCCTTCACTCTTTGATATTATGTCTATTTAGGCTCTGCAATAAATGACTTGTATATATTAGATTAATCTTCTCATTTATGGTGAAAAAATGGAGCCTCCAAGTTACAGACTCAGGGTCATAGAGGATGCAGAAAGAGAACCAAGATTCGATTCATGGTGTATCTTTTCTTGAGTCCTCACTGCTCCCTCTATACAATGTGGCACCTTGTACGTTGTTTGCTGCCACCACAAGTGCTCTCTCCTGTACCTGAGTAAACCTCAGCCAAAAAGCAAGCTCAATAGTTCACGTGAAAGAATTGTACTAACAATCAGATGTCATCAGAAGTCTCAGGAAACCTGTTTTGACTCACTGAACCTCAAGCCACTGAATTTATCATCATTAGACACTTAGCATGCTTTAAATAGCCATTGCTTTGAGCACAAAATGGTAATGCTCTACTGGTTAATGCAACAGACCTTTTGCTATTTTAACATCCCTAAAATTAGGACAGTCGTTATGAGTTATACACAACAGTAATGACACAGGTGTGAATGTAGAAATAGTCTCATTTGCTAATTGTTTTGGGTCTTTCATTTGTGGCTTAATATTTTCATACTGTTTTGTTGGCACCTGTTTTTATGAATTATACTGATAGCTAACTATACTCCTGTCAGGTTTGTCTCACAGTGTGATGGTTTAGGGAAGAGATCTACAAAACTGTTTTCTGGGAAGGGGCAAACTGTAAATATTTTTGGCCTTACAGAATCTATTCAACTCTATCACAGTGGAGCAACCATAGAGAGCATGTAAATAAGTGAGTGTGGCTGTGTTCTAATTAAATTTTATTTACATAAACAGGTGTGACCAAATCCAGTGGGTCAGTGGTCCATTGTTTGCTGACTCTTAGTTGAGCAGCTAAACATAATTCTCTAAATACTAAAGATGATGGAAAATAATTAAGGCCTATAGAGGAGTGTTTACTAGAGAAAGGGTCAATGTGATATTTCTTCAATGTGGACATTTTAATCATTTATTCATGTCACATTTAACACAGTCATTTAAACTATACAAAAGGCTCTTCTGTATAGTATATTCAAGGAAGACTAAGTCAGTAAATCAAGATCTAAATAAGTCTCTGCCACTAACTTTAATATGTCATTGGAAAAATTATTCTCTCTTAATCAAAAACCTACAAAGGTCTTTCTGATTTCTCATCCTCTTCTGGATGCTTTGATTGTCAGAGAGGGTCAGCTTTTGGCTGCTTGTCTAACATACCCAAGATGCTGGGTTTGATACCTAGAACTGCCAAAAAATTATGGGCAGAAATACAAAGTTAGCAATCAGACACATATTTAATAAAATTATGTATAAAACAAACTGGAACAGAAGCCTTATGATTCAACTCACATAATTAACCAAGCCATGGGGGCCAGTGAATGGAAAGATGCCCGGTGAAGGACATTCCTTAGGCACTGGGGGAGCAAGGGGTAATATCACATTCCTGTGGGGTTGGGGCCAAGCTGGAAAGTCAGTCATGTGTGAATTCTCACTTGGGGGGTCACTTGATGAATAAACTGTCTTGTAAGCCCCAAGGACAGTCATGATGCTTTATAAGAACCCAGTCAGGTGGGAGGCTAAGATGAGAGGACTGCAAGCTTGAGTCCAGCCTGGGCAACTTAGTGATTTAACAAGATCCTATCTCAAAATGAAAGATTTAAAAAAGGGATGGGAATAGAGTATGAAAGCCTTGGGTTCAATTCTCAGTACTGAAAAACCAACCAACCAACAAACAAAAAACCCCCCAAAACCCAAAACAACAAAAAACAAAGTCAGTTAGCAGAGTAGACTTTTGGGGTACACACAGCTACCAGGGAGCAGGGAATCCTTTCTATCACAGGGTCCTTCCAACAGCACACTGAAACAAAGATGGCCATTCTTTTTTCAGGGAGTGGCGTTCAGGCTTAATTGGTTGATTTTTGATGCTAGATGTTGAGCAGTTTCTGCAAGGCCCTGTGGTTTGGGTGCCATTCTCTACTGAGACCCCAGAGAAATAAGCTAGGAGCTCTGTGCCCCAGGCTTCTTCAGCCAAAGCCCCGCCCCAACTTTTTCTGCTGGTGATAAACAAAGGCAGTCCAATCACTTCACTGTAAATGGGAAAACTGAGTCTCAAAAGGGGCCACACGTGGCCGTTGCTGTCGGAGGGAAGAAGGGGAGGGCCTAGGCATGAGAAGTGCATATTCGTCTTCTGGGTAAGGTGGATGTCTTGGGGTGGAAGGCACACGGAGAAGTGAATACTCTGTCTCAATGCCTCCCAGAGACTCTCCGGGCCTATTCGCCTTGCAGGAGATATTCTCATAGAGTTCTCCGGTGACCTCCTCTTCAGCAGAGTTCCCCGATGCTATCTTCCTAAGGGATGTGTGATTGATAAGGACGTAGCACACCTCATCCGCATAGGTCTGGTTCCCATTGTCCTGCTGCTCAAAGGAGAATGTCATCAAGACTCTCTTTACACTTTAGTCTCCACACAGGCCTGATCCCGGGAAAAGCTATCTCTCTCAGGACCACTTCCTCTCCATCGCTTGTCCATTTATCTTAAATTGCTTCTCCCACCCCAACCACTAGAACTTTTGGCTAAAGCCCTCATAGTGCAGAGTATGCACCTACTCAAGTGTGTCTTTTCTGCCCATGTCCCAGAGCGACCTCTGAACACCCTGTATAATTCCCAAAGTCTTAGTGCTCTTGGGAAGCCCATACTGATAAATGACAACAATGTAATGGCATCTTAATGTGAGGAGGTTATAAGATTTAACCACTCACTACAGAGCCTTTTACTCAAGAGAAGTTTCACTCATGGTAGAATCTCAAGAGAATAAAAAGCAAAGACAGCCAAAGGGAAAAGCATGGATTTGGGCCCGAGATTTGGTTTTGAATCTTGGCTTTGCCATCTTTTGTCTATCTAGCTTTGAGTAATATTACTTAATCTCTTAGTTTTCTTATCTGTAAATGAGGGGGAAGTGATAGTACTACATAGTGGGATTGCTGCAATGGTCATACGATACAATGCCCATAAAGCACCTAGCACATTGCTTATCATATACAAGGTGCTGGTCAGATATTAGCTCCTTCACAACGCTGACACTGAAGAGCTTTCTTCTATGCTAATATCAGAAGTGTCTTATTACCTTGCTGGGAGAAGATGTTGTTCCTTTGTCTGCAGAAAGAAATACACTCAATGAATTTCAAGCCACATGGAACCTTGAGGGGTGTGAGGGCTGGGCTGTGAGCAACCAGAGAACCAGGAACCATCTGCAGTAGCCCTCACCAGGTTCTTAGATCTACAGAACATCCCTGGCCTGGGTGTGTGCAGGACCATCTAAACAAGAAAGGGCCAGAGGTTGCTCAGGGTAAGAGGCCAAGTTGAGGGTACATATATGGTGAAGCATTAAGAAATCACACTCATTTCTTCTCTCCTTCATCTCTCCTTATTTTCTTCCCTCACTGTACAAAGCACTGGAATCAGAAACAGCTCTGTCCTCTACAGGCTGGCATGGCTGGGGTTTAGAAAGAACACAGTAGCCAGGATCCTGCTTCTCTGGAAGCTGACAAAGATGGTGGTAGACCGGACCTTAGTGCTCAAGGACAGTTTTATGGAAGGGGAAGTTCTTGAGCTGATTGTTTTTATTCCTGTAGCTGCTGGCAGATAAGAACATGTGTGGACCAATTTTCCAAAAATCAAATTACTTTAAACTTATTCTGGTTACTCAGCAAAGAGGCAAGTGAATGTCTGCTACCCCCTCATTAAAGAGCCAGCTCAATAACCGAACAGGTACCCTCCATGGAAGCCTGCTCAGGAAGCAGAAATGTCCAGGTGATTATGATGTGGTACCTTGGTGCAGAGACTTCCATTTCTTCCAATTCTCACAACTCCACCTAAGACTTCCCTTATTAGAATTACATGAGAAGTGTTGGAAGTTTTAGCACCATGGGTCTTATTTCTATCATGCTTTCTCTGATGGAGATCAACTGTCTTTGTACTTTCTTGGCTTAGGACTAGGAGTTTGGATTTTTTGTTCACAAATCTTACAGAGCTAACTCATAAAACTCAGTGTGTGAATGAATTATGCCAGTGGTGGTGAGCCTTTTAGAGCTTTCAATGATACAAAACAGCCCAGCTGAGGTATACCACTACTGGGCTACATCCCCCTTGTTCAGGCAAAGGCGAAACAGTTTTTTCTTCAGAAATACAATGGCCTGTCTTGGGCTAAATGTTCTTCTTGTTGTGCTCTCATATGTGATTCTACTCACTACCTTATCCTTCTTTGATCCTTTTCTTTCCTTAACTTTAACACTCACTGGTCCTCACAGGCTACAGCCCCAGCCTCCTTAAAGTGGTTTCCTGGTATCTGCTCCTGCTGTGCCCCGATGCAGCTTCTCTGCCAGCCACCAAGGGATGATTTTCTTAAGACTGCAAATCTGATTACATCTGTCTTTTTAGTACCTCTGGCTACTCTCAATAGAAAGACCTAAATCCAGAACTGCCCCTCCCCAAGCCTCGTCGGGTCTTATGTGGCTTTCTTGATGTTTCCTGTAAGTCCCCTTTGATTCCAGCTTTTCTATTTTTCCCCTAAGTTAATCCCTTTATCTACAAGCTGCAGGCACAAAGAACATGGATTTCAGCAAGGTGATTCCTGCTTCAATGAATTCACAGCCTATAGGGGAACACACACCTAGCATAGGCAGACTGTAGGCAGATGGGTCGGTGTAAATATGATGGAACGGCAGCGACTTACTTTTCTTTTGGGAATCTTGGCTTGTTTTGAAAATACATATTCTTTTCCTGTTTTAAAAAAGAGCAAAGTAAATTGGTTGTTGCAATATCCAAGACTTTCAAAAAAATTATACTGACCTACATAACAATCTTAAAATTGTATGCCTTTCATAGTACCTCATTCGACCTACAACATTTAGAAGACAACAAAGACGAAATAGGAAGATAGGACAAATACGAAGCCTTCTACCTCCACCCTTTTAAAATTCTTATGTAGAATTTACTCATATAGGAGAACTATGGTGCTATTATAGGTTGCCTTTTGGAGAATTTTTTAATGATGCCCTACCAATTTATTTTATACCATTTGAGTGTAGAAGCCAGAATTATTTTGAACCTAACCTAATCTCCAAAACAAAAGCACACCTTCCATTAGAACACACAACACAAGGGCCGGCCAATAGCTCAGTTGATTAAAGCACCTGTTGAGGCAGACACAGGGGCCAGAAGTTTGATCCCCTGGCCTGCTGTGCCAACCCGGCCCCCAGGGCATGCTGAGATGGCAATTGAGACTAGGTGTGGTGGCGTGCACCTGTGTTCAGCACTTGGGAGGCTGAACACAGGCGGATGACTATGAGTCTGATCTATGCAGTAAGACCCTGTACATCTTGTACACCCTGTCTTAAACACCAAAAAAAAAAAAAAACAACAACAACAACAACAACAAAAAAACAAAACAAAAAAAAAAACAAAAAACAAAAAACAAAAAACACAACATAGAAGATCCCTGGATAACGGAATGCAAACATGATGGAAACTCATTTTCATCTCAGGAGACAGGGTGGATTTGTCATGAAGAACATTGCCATCTGTTCCAGTGTGCTCAGTCTGGTTAACATCATTATCAATCACTCAGCAGTAATTAGCTATTCTTAGGATCCCTCTCACTCTAGTTATCTCAGTTTGGACAATAAATTATATTGCCACCCTGACTATGCATTCTCAGTGCAGGGTGCAGAAAGGTGTTCTGTACATGATGAGCCTGGGATTTTCAGTGTGAAGAGTTCTTTTTCTATAGTAATAGCCAGTTCCATTTCTACAAGAAGCTCATCCTCATCCATTAGAGGACAGAGTGCTGCCCAGGAGGCAGCTGTTCCTGTTTCTTGCTTCCCTGAGTGGCTGGTAGGTGATTTTCTTCTGGGTTGAGTGCCAGGCTCCCACCGTGCCCTCAGATGGTAGGGAATTTACAGGTAATGTGTAGCAAATACCACATAAAAACCACACTTGGGGAAATAGCTCCTAAAAGCAGCTTTCAGCTTACCACGGAAAGCAGGAACATCTTTCAGTAAGATGATGATTCCAGCATCTGAAATATCCAAGAAAGATAAGACAAAGTCACAGGACTGGTTTCTGAGCTTCTGTCAACACAGTTCCCTTCTCATTGCCCTTTCTTAGGGAAAACCTTTTTTCTTTTTTCTTTTCCCAAGAAAGCATTCATTTTAGGTGACTTGATGTGTCAGTTGTTAATCCTGGGGAGTAAACACCTTTCTGCTGTACTCTCAGGAAGTGGGAAAGGTTTTCTCATCTCCAATTCTGACACCTTACTTGACTCCTTTGAGATGAAGATTACATAAGCAGTATCTTCAGGAAATCAGGTATAAGCAAATAGATATTTTAGAGATCATTTTGTTCAGGTATGGGACAGGCAGTATTTCCATAGGATTTCAGAGATCTGACATGTCTCTTTTGCCTTTTTGTTATAGTTGTCTGCTCACTTGTTGTCTAGATCCTAGAATGTGGACTTCACAAGGCTGGGAACATATTTATTTTATCATCATGGCATGTATTGCCAGTATATGCTACATGATAAAACATAATATGTTCTCAAAAAATATTTACTGAAATAAGAATAAGGAATGTGATGAATGATGAAAATATGAATGAATAGCCAGAAGTAGAGCAATTGCAGCTGGAACAGGAGACCATCCGATCTCTCCTCTTGACTCATATAGATATATAAGGGACTTTCACATGTCTTATGCTAGATGGGCTTAAGACCTCCATGCAGTCAGATATGTAGGTTGAATTCTAAGCATCATCCTTGGAATCTTTCTAAATCAGAGGCATAATCAACTACTTCTATGCATGAATGTTAAAGTCCTTCATGAAGTACTACATGTACTGGTTACAGAGTAAAATAAGTTAGAAAACTCCATCTAAAAATGTCTTCCCCAGTGAGCTTATCCCTGGAGTTCCCTCAGAAGGAGTGGCAGAGGACAGACTAATGGCACCATGATGGTGACTGTGGCCACCAGCTTGGTTGAGTGTCCTGACTGTTCAAGGATCCCTGTACCATCAGAACCTTTGGGGCTGTAGGACAGAGTCTGAGTTCTTCCTCTTCTTCAGGATGCCTTCAGGGTTCTTTAAACCACTTGTTTTTCATCTCCTGCTGCAGTTGCTATAAACATCAAAAGGCAGCTCCTGAATCAAACCAATGCTAAGAAGCAAGTTCATGAGGGGATATGAGAGTGAGGTGAAAAAAATAGTAGATCTCGAGTTACTGGATTCATATCTCTAAACTTCATGAAGTACAGTTTTTTAGTGCACAAAATGCTTACTGCACAGACTTGTGATATCAGATAAAGTGAAATATAGCTAAAAGCTATTTTCTTCACTCAGCTTTCATAAGATTTATTCACAGATTTTAATATCAATGTTTTGGTTTGGGAAAGCTCAGAAAAATTCTATGAAACACACCAGAGAAGTATCTGATCTCAGCTCCCATGCTAATAATTCCAGTCTCTCAGAGTCTTCCCTTGTAACTGGGTCTAGAAAGTCTCCTTTGTTGTGATGCCCTTGGTTCTTGTGATGTCTGTCATTTTAGACCATAAATTTTAACATCTTCCCAATGATAAAACATCCAAAACAGTCTCCAGCTTGGACTGAAGAAATGCAGCCTACTGTGGGATTACTGGGACTTTTGCCCTTAAACAGTCTTTGGCACAGTGACTTCTTTGTAGTTCCATGTTTTCAAGGCCTTAACAGGTTTGAGCATGCTTGCCTGGCTCTTTTCTGCTTGGCATTTTGGAGCCTCAGATTCCAAGTCACCTCTTGAGTATCCTGCTGCCACCTAAAATTCAATATGTGAGAAATAGGTTCAGGATGCCTCTCCAGGATCCCTACTTCTTCTCCTTTTTATTTATTTGTTTGTTTGGTTCAGGGTCTCGCTACACAGCCTGGACTCATGGCGGTCTTCCTGTCTCAGCCTCCTGTGCTACTATGCCTGGTTTTGGTGGCTGCCTTTGTGCACCTGGGATTCTAGGGCTGGCATGGCTTGTAGTACTGGGTATTGAACCTGGTTCCTTGCACTTGCCAGGCAGGCACTTAGACCTTTGAGCTATCTCCCCAGCTTCCTACTTCTTTTTGTTTTTTTCCAATTTTCCTCATTTATATTTTCTGTGTGAACCCTAAATTGGCTTAGCTTTTCTCTTGTTGTCCTTACATTTGTTAATATTCACTCCAAGCACACACCACAGTCCAGTTTAGAGCTGGCCTTCTCCTTGCATTGCCATAGGAACCGCACACTGATTTTCTCTGGAAACAGACATATACCTCTGATCCTAAATCCCTTGTTCCCAAGAGTCCAGGAATCCTCATCACAACCCTAAGAATGTCAGTGTCACACACAGAGACCTGGCCTCCTTGGCTGTCATTAGCTACTTTGGTACAGTTCAAGGGCTGCACATGAACAATGGGGGAAGGGTACATAAGTAAAGCTACACAGTCACCATCTTTCATAGAGTTCAGAGGCAGAGAATGTGGCATGACAGGACGGCAAAAGAATTAAATAAATGAGCTCATTGCTTGAGGTGGATTTACGCATAATCGTCTTTTCATTTGCTGAAAGCTGAGGAGTACAACGAAAAAGAAACTAACAATTAGACAACTAAACACTGCTTATTATGAGCTATTCATTTTATGGGTTACATTGCTTTTAATCTCAGAATTAATCTATGAAGTTGATATTATCATCTTATTGTTTATGAGTAAAAAAGCTAAATGCAAAGCATTAGGCAACTTACCTGAGGATCCACAAGGGGAGAGAGAGTAGGTTTTATTTGGGTAGATACCTCACTCTGAAATCTGACCTCTTCTCATGAAGGAATAGGTGCCCTTCCTAGGGGCAGTTTTCCTGGCTTTCCTGACAGATTTCACCTAGAGATACATGATAGGGGGGATGCTGATTGGATGACAATGGGGTGGAAGGCATGAAGTGGAAAATCAGGTCCAAACAATATAATATTTTTGAAAAGACTCAGGGCCATATTCTAAATTAGCAAGAGGATGCTTGTCTGACTGATCAACTATTTGGAAAGAACATAGCTGACCCCAGATATGGAATGCATAAGGCTAAATATCTAGCAATAAAATCTCCCAAAATATTTTTGTGTAAATTTGTCTTACCGTGGGAAGGGGAAAAGGGTTTTAGCACAAATGCAATAGCAGAAACAGCAACACCTTCTGGGTTTAGTTAAATTATCTTCAAAATGTGAAAAGCATAAAATAAGAAAAGTCCAGATGGCATAAGATGTACAGACTAGAAAAATACTTTTTTTCTCACAATTTTATGAGAAAAGACAAATTTCTTCAAAGTACAAATAGACAAAATGAAACAAAATCTAAAACAAAACTAGGATAAAAGGCATTACTGGCTCTTCACAGATGAAGAAGTACAAATAGCTGGCTATAGATAATGAATCTAATATAATAAACATGCTATGATTCTATTTTATCTCATTCTCAGGTTTTTATACTTTACAATTATGCTTACAATGAAAACCCATTAATTTCTTTTTTCCCCATAATTTTATTGATATACAAATAGCAATGAGACAGTTTCAAATCAAACTGGTAAGACAGTTTCAATAATTCACACATTGAATACATTCTTCCTAGTGGTTAATTGCTGTACAAGATGCAGACATGATATCCTATTTACAAACACCATTAGAATAAATCACTCTATTCATTAAGAGAATGTAACTATATATCTATCCTAACCACTTTGAATAGATACAGATACAAAATGGACATTCATCTGTATCCCCCTTTTTTTGTTAAGTTCCATTATTTGAATATTATAGGTGTGTAAACTCAGCAAAATATTCTAGAAGAGTCCGGTAGCCCATAATACTATTGGGTCTTCCGCTTCACTGGCAATGTCAGAAATTGTTGACCTGAGTCCCCTATAGCTCAACATAACAGCATGGCCCCATTAATTTCATAGTGCTTCACCTCCACAGCAAGGTTCTGTAAAGCAACATTCTGTCTGTGGTGTCAATGCTTTCTGAGTCACTTCCTATCTATATTTTATCTCTCTCCATAGAACAGTTATTTCCTTATATTCCCAACCATTCATGTAATAATTATTAAGTACCTGCTACATCCCAGAAATATCCCAAAAGCCAAAAATTCAAGGAAGAATGAAAAACAGGAAGAGATCAGCTGGGTCGGTGGCACCTGTAATCACAGCACTTGCGAGGCTGAGGAAGGAAGATCACAGAGTTTCGGGGCCAGCCTGGCTACAAAATAAGTTCAAGGCCAGCTTGAATTGCATAGTGAGGCCCTATCTCAAAAGGTTAAAAAAAAATAAAAAAGATAATCCCTACATTTAGAGTTCTCACATCCTGACTTAAAAATAACATTTTCTCATCTTATAGAAGAATTCTAAAGTAGAAAAAAGATTGACAAACTTTTGCAAAGATCTAGGGAGAAGTCTCAGACAATAGTGGCTCTCAGGGACTTTTCTATAAGTGGTATTTTGGGCCACTTTCTTTTTCTGTTCCATTTCCCAGCACCATGACCTGATACCTGGAACGCCCACCATAGTCTTGTAAAGACTTCCAGACCAGCTTTCTCTCCTGAGACTGCCTTATTTTATACCTTCAAGATCCCCTTATCTTTGGTAGTAATAATCTTCACAATAACGGCTTTGATGTTAGTGAATATCGTGCTTCTAAAAAATAAAAATAAAAAAAACCCCACAAATATCTTCTAGTTACAGAACTCTTCTGTATACCAGGCATTGTGTGAGTACCACCCATGCTAGAACACCCCCAAGTAGGTAGTGTATTGTACTATTTAGAATGAGGAAACAACTCTGGAAAGATTAAGACAAGCTCTCTATCTATACAAGTGAACTCTGCTCCCCTCCTTTAAGTGCTGAGAAGTGCACACTAAACAAAGCCTCACGGAGACAGGAGACTTGCTTTTTATTTTTAATTGACAGTAGTCACTAAAAGAGTGGGTGTCTTTGAGCTCTTTCTGGAGCCTTAAGGGCTCGGCAGATCCTTCCCTTGCAGGCCCTCAGAAAGTTGTTCTGCTTCTGAGGTGGTTGCCTCTTCCAGGGTCCTCCTTTGAGGAAGGCCCATCAAGGTGCTTGCTGTGATTCTGGGCAGGAAGGCAAACTTTGTAAGGAGTTAAAAAAGATGTCTGGCATGTAGCAGGCACTGATGTCTTATCAGTTCCCTTCACTCCCAAGAGTAGTTTTCTTTTTTGCTTTCATTGCCTTAATCCCTCTCCCCTGGTCCCTGGCAGGGAGTGTAAACTTACCTGTTCTCCCTCTGCAGATAGTTCCCCATGCTGTACTGGTCTCCACACCTTCAGCTCTGGCCCCTTTACCACTTCCTTCTTGTGGGCCTTGTGCTCTGATAGGCCAGTGCCTGAATGGCTCTGTGGTTCTGGCCACTTGCACAGAGAACAGAAAGGAGAAGGGTGCATGCAGAGAGGAAGGGGGGGGGGGAGTTACAGGCACACACAGCTAGGAGGTCCTTAAATTGTCAAAGCCTTCAGGGCCAGACCATGAGTTCTGGTCAATGAGTCCTGTAAGCCTTTGGGGGAAACTTGAGCCTGCAAATATAGCTGGGTTGGCTGTGGATGCTTTTTTCATTAAAATACATATGTTTAGAAAAGTCAAAGGGGGACAATTTGTTTGAAAGACATAAGATTAAAGCTGAGAGTTAAGCCACAGGAGACTATAGTGCTTGCTATATACAAAGGACTCTCATGCCAGGTGTGGTGGCACATGCCTGTAATCTCAGCACTCTGGAGGATGAGGCAGGAGGATCGTTGTGAGTTCAAGAGCAGCCTGGACTACAAAGTGAGTTCAAGGCCAGCATAGTGAGACCCTGTCTCAAAAAGACAAAGAGAGAAAGGAAGAAGGAATGAAAGAAAGACTCTCAAGACTCATGAGAAAACACACATATAATGATAAATTAGGGATAATATTGAAACAGACTTTTTACCAAAGGCATACAGGGTTGCTAAATGTATGAAAAGATACTCAATGCCATCATCATTAGGGAACGTAGGTCAAACCTGTAGTGCAATCCATTTACACATTCATTAGAATGTTTAATGTTGAAAACCAAAATAAAACCCATAATACCAAGTGCTGAGAAAGAATGATTAATACCTGGAAACCCCATGCTTTGCTGTTGCAAAATGTAAAATGTAAAATGATGCAGTCTTTTAGGAAACCAATATGGTTGTTTCATACAAAGTTAAAGATAGACATATTTTACAACTCAGCAGTCTCATTTTCAGTGATTTGTCCAAGTAAAACTTATGCCCTCTAAGAACTTGTATACAAGGTTTGGCCAGATAGCTCAGCGGATTGAAGCACCTGCTTAGGCAGACACAAGGACCAGGGTTTGATCCCTGACATGCTGTGCCGGCCCCGCCCTCAGGGCTCTCTGAGATGGTGACTGAGACTGGGTGTGGTGGTGTGCGCCTGTAATTTCAGTGCTTGGGAAGCTGAAAACAGGAGGATCACCACAAGTCTGATCTATGTATTGAGACCCTGTAGGCCCAGTACTAAATACATAAAACAAAAAAACTTGTATGCAATATTTTATACTTGTCAAAAAAAAAAACCCTGGAAAATACCCAAATGATCTTCAACTGGCTGAACAAATTGTGTTATACCCGTGGAACAGTATACTGCTCAACAATAAAAACATGGACTACTATTATATGCAACAACTTGGATAAATCCTGCACAAATTATGCTTAGTGAAAGAACTTAGATTTAAAACGGATCTTTTTGACTTGTTCCTTGACAAAGTTAGGACATTAGGGAAAGCTACACTGAATATAAATGAATGATAAGCAACTGAGACCTAAAATGTGGCCTTTCATTTTAAATATTTAATTTATTGCTATAAACCATGTCAATAAAAAAAATCATTGGTGAAAAAATCCCAACCCTTTGTGATATTTTTGAGCTAGCAAAACCACTGGAACTGAAAGCGTGTCAATGTTTGCAAGAGCAAAGGGTGTGGGAGGGACTTTCAAAGAGAAGTAAGGAATTTCTGTTGTGTTTATCTTAATCATAGTATTGGTCACAAGCTTCCATGTATTCCTCATAATCTTTGCAACTGTGTATTGTAAAGGAAGGAAAGAAATTGGTTTAGGGTCAGAAATCTTGGGTTTTTGGCATTAAGTATGTGTCATGTACCGTGAGTGCAGTGGTGCACCAAATGGATGTGGGTCTGCCCTCACAGAGTTCCTTAGCTTCTCCTTCTCTCCTCCTCCTCCTCTTCTTCCTCTCTTTCCTCCCCCTCTGTCTTCTTCTTTGTACCAGAATTCAAACTCAGGACTTCACACTTGCCAGGTAGATGCTGTGTCACTGTGCTCAATCCCTGGCCAGTAGAGCTCCTTAACATGGGATGAAAGTGCTGGCTAACCCAGCACTTAGAGGTCATGCCTGAAACAGTCAAAGCAAGACAGGAAGAAATGTGTGTCCAAGTGTGCAACTCATCGCACACCAGTAGTTCTTGTAACTGCTCTCCAGACTTCAGTCTGATCCTGTGAGTGACTTTCAGAAGTGCTTTTAAGCACAGATGGAGAGGTGAGCAGTCCCTGCCTAGCAGGGAAATCTATTCTGCAGCAAGGCAGGCCTGTGAGGGCAAGGAAGGTAAGCCGGTTTAGAAGACTTTTGGATTCTCAAAGCAAAAATATTTTTATTTATAGTGTTTTAGTCCACTAAGGACAAATACAACAAAATTCTCTTTTTTTTCTTAGAGCATTTACTTTAGACATTTTTTTGTCTCCCTCTTAAATGCCTGTTAAAAAATTTTGAGGTAAGACACGCAACCCAGAAATGTTTCCTCAAGGACCTAGAGCTATTTTCTTGGAAATGTAATCATCAAAGAAATTTCTCTGGGAGAACAGGTGCTCAGCTGGCACCTGGATCCAAGTTGCAAATCTAGATTCTATAAAAAATAAGAGAATGCCTGGGCACAGTGGGGCACGCCTGTAATCCCAGTACCTGGTGAGGCTGAGGCAAGAATATCGCTGTGAGTTCAAGGCCAGCTTGCACTGCATAAGCATAGTAACACTTTGTTTCAAAATAAAAGATATATAGTTCCAGGTAGTGGGGAGTGTGTCAAAAAAATGGATTGTCAAGGAGATTCTTCGCCTAGGAACTTTTATAACAAAAAATAACCAGGGCTCAGACCACTCCCGCTCTAGCCAAAGACAACCTGTGGGTCTAAAACAAGCTTTTCTTAAAGCAGAAACAGGCCAGTGAGGAATGGAGAATGCAGCAAACATGTGACTTGTGGCCTCTAAGTGGATTTTTTAAAAAAAACAGAAAATAAAAAAATGTTTTCTAGAAAAGTAAAGGTTGAGGCTGTCGTAGTGGCCATCTATCACTTTGCTAGTCGTCTTTCTGTCACTTAAATTGTCTGCTTAGTTTTTGTTAACTGTTGACCTCAGGCTCCTGCTTATCTGACCAAGACCTGATCTTCCTGAATCTACCTTGCGTCCAATGTCTCTCTAGATGGTTCCTGTCTCCTACCTAACTTGCCCGTCCGTAATACTAACTTCATTACATTTTCATTAATCCTTTGGGTAATTAGGAAAGATGTCAGAGAGGCAGATTTTCTAAATTACAAATATATGAAATTTATGAAAACTCTTATCAGTAAATCAGTTCAAACAGTAAAGAGAGAAAACTGTTAACAAAGCATATTAAACATCAGAGGTGTATGCTTCACATATGTGTAAGGAATCTAAGTGTATCCTATTCTATTTCTACCATTAATCTCTTTTAAAACCATTTCCTTTCCTAGGTGAGATAATTATAATATCAATGAATGTCTTATGCCCATAGAAAATTTAGGGTAACAAACAGTTGTCTGCCATTTTGTGTGTGAAGAAAGTGATTGTGTGTGTGTGTGTGTGTGTGTGTGTGTGTGTGTAAGGAGGGAGAAAGAGAAAAATCAGAAAGGAAAGAGAAGGGTAGAGAAACCTGCATCACGTCGAGACAAGTAGAAGGGGGCCCAAACTCCTCAGCTGGTTGAGGGGAGACAGACAAGGGTGAAAACCACTAAGTGAGTAGCCCTCTGACTGAGTCCTACCTAGCATATGTGAGAATTAAGATAATTCTGATTCTTGGTTGGGTCAGCTTGAGCAGACAGCTAGAAGGCTATCGCTTGCATGGCTCAACCAGTTCCATTGTCATCCAAAGGCTTTGTGCCCAGCGCCAACATACTAGGCACGAGGGTTGGAAGGCAATTGACCCATTGTAATTGAAGGCAAGGCTGCGTATTGGTTTCTAACTCCAACTTCAGCTTTACTCCCACCACTAGATGGAGAAGCTGAGCTGTGGAAATGTTAGCTGGGGCTCATAAAGTTTCTTGACTTAGGTAGCAGAAAGAGCGGGGCAGTTATTACAGACATTTATTAGCGTGAAACAACTTTGAGCCAAAAATTACACTGTAAAAATGAAAGCATAGCAACGTGTACCCACATATAGGAGCTCCAATAACTTAAGTCACAGATTCTCTATTCTCACTAGTGTTGCTCCAGTGTCTAATACATAGGAGAAAATCTGTGAATTGAGCTGGAGATGAAAACATGGACATTTGTAAGCAGATGATGGAAAAATTAAAGGAAGATGGGGTTGAGATAATTAAAATTATTTTTTGGTGTTACTATAGAAAATTAATGACTAATGTAACAACCAATGTTTTGCTATACCTTTAAAATCATGTAAGATAATGTAATCATAATAACCATTTTCTCAGAACTGGCTTTATTTTTTTGTATTTAGGACAGAGTGTACAGGGTGTACACAGTCTCACTGCATAGATCAGACTAGTAGTGATCCTGCTGTTTACAGCCTCCCAAGTGCTGGGATTACAGGGGCTGCCACCATACCCAGTGCTGTCTCAGTGCACCCAGGGGGCGGGGCCAGCATTGCAGGCCTGTAGAACTTTCCAGTTATCCAGGCATAATGTGAATTGATATCGATACATTTTCTGATTTTTTCATGTAATTCTATAAGTTAAATGCAATTTTCTTTCTTTTGTAGATGACAGTACACAGTCCTTGGAGGTCATAGACTTGCATATGAATACCCTAATACTAAGTGGCAATATGAGCTCAAATAGGACACGAACTTTGTCTATTCATTGTCCTATTTAATGAACACTTGTTGAAAGACCAAACTGGCTTTTACTCATGGGTCAGTCAAGTGCAGCATGTTTGCATGTCTGAAGAATGTTTCTGCCTTCCATTCATATGTGAATTTCCAATTCTCATCTCTCAAGGCAGAAATACTTTTAGGATAAGAGTTAATTTCAAAAACTTCTTCAGGGCCCTGGGACATAGCTCAATAGAATAAGCTCTTGCCTGGAAAGCGCAGAGGCCTGAGTTCAATCCATGGTACTGAAAACAAAAACAAAACCCACAGCTCTTCAATTTCAAAGACTTGGATGTGATGATTTTATTTATTTTTTCATTTTTATTTATTTTTAAAATTTTTTTCCATAATTTTATTGACAGACAAATAGCAATGAGACAGTTTCAAGTCAAATTGGTAAGACAGTTTCAATAATTAACACATTGCATACTGTCTTCCTAGTGGTTATTTGCTGTATAAGATGCAGACATGATATCCTATTTACAAACACTATTACAACAAATCTCTCTATTCATTAAGAGAATGTCCTCTTTTTTGTTTAGTTCCATCATTTGAATATTATAGGTGTGTTAACTCAGCAAAAATATTCTAGGGCCAGGGAGATGGCTCAGTAGAATAAGCACTTGCCTGGCAAGCTCAAGGGCCTGAGTTCAATCCCCAGCTCCGCAAAAAAATCTAAAAGATTCCAGTAATCCATAATAGTATTGGGTCTTCCGCTTGACTGGCAGTGTCAGAAATTGTTGACCTGAGTCCCCTACTGCTCAATATAACAACACGGCTTTATTTTTGGATTCTTGTAAAATGAAAGAAGGGATCTATTTATGCAAAAGGAAAGTCATTTTGGAGCATTTTATGATAGGAAAAGAACTTAAAAAAAAAAGACTTCTTTGTTCAAAAGGAAGGAGATGAGGAGATGGACAGGAGTGGTGGGGAAGAGTTATATCTATGTATCTTTTTTTTTTTTTTGTGTGTGTGTGTGTGTGTATGTGTGCAGGGTCTTACTACGCAGCTGGGACTCACAGTAATCCTCTTGATTTGTGCCTCCTTAGTACTGGGATTGCAGGTGTGCACCACCACACCCACTCAAGAGTTCCCAGGGGGCAGGGCCAGCTGAGATGGTGAATGAAACTGGGTGTGGTGGTGCATGCCTGTAATCCCAGCACTTGGGAAAGCTGAAAACCAGAGAATCACTACAAGTCTGATCTATGTAGTGAGACTTTGTACCAAATACATAAAAATAATTTTAAAAAATAAGAAAAAGAAAACCAAAACAAGTGTAGTCACCATAAAAGAAAAAATTAAGGGCTGGGGAGATGACTCAGTAGAATAAGTGCTTCCCTGGCAAGTGCAAAGATGTCAGTTCAATCTCTGGTTTCCCTCCCTCCAAAAAACCCCCCCAAACAAACAAACGCAAAAAAACTAGGTCCAAATGAACAAGGATTGTTTGTGTGTGTGTGTGTGTGTGTGTGTGTGTGTGCGTGTGTGTAAATCAAGAGGCAACTCTGGCTATGTGCCACTGAGCTATATACCTGGCTCAATCAGAATTTTATTTAAGAAAGAAAAAAAGGAAATAATATTCTGGGCCTTGTAAGAAAATACTCTAAGTGGTTTACTTCTCTGAGTCAAATGCAAGGGAGCTCCACATGCCCCCCCCCCCAGGCCAGATGCCAAACATTACATTCTTTGCGGTAAAAATGGAAGCTCTACACACACGACTCTCCTCTGTTCTTCCTTTCATTCCTTCCTCCCTCCCTTTCTGTGTTTGTGTACTCACCATATACATTATCAAAATTACTTCATATTTGAGTATTTTGTGTAAGCATATCAAGCCCACACATCTAGATCAGCATAGATAATAATTAATACTGTGGTATGTTTTCTTCTCTACTACAATGGCTTAGATTGCCAAAATAAAATCTAGACAACCTAAAGCATATTATAAATTGTACCGAGTATGTTTGGAGAATTTGATTCTCAGTGTCATCACATCCAGTAGTGTAACTCTGAGCAATTTAGCCCTATTTTCCAAGCTCCATTTCATCCCCTTAAAAATGAGTGTAATTGTAGGACCCACCTCCTAACTATCATGGGGTGACTGCATGGGGTGACAGGCTTGCTGTGAGTGACAGCTGCTTTTGGTGAAGAGAATTACAGTATTTTTCCCCTGGTGTTTTTTTTTTTTTTTGAGTTGAGTCTAAGCCCTTCATTGCCTTCACCACCCTGGTCTGTCTCATTTTCTCATTCCTTCTACTTCGGTACAATGGTTAATCTGGTGGAGGAAGGTGGAAGCAGAACTGAGCACTCCTTGAGGAGCTCCTTTTTCCTAATACTTTGTTGGGAATGAATTTACTGTTAGAAGTTTTGTGTTTTCCATGTTAATCTTAGTGGAAATTGTCAGTAGTCACCAAACTTTCAGATTTTAAGGAAAAGAAAGCAGCTGGGTCTTTCTGTGTCAGCTTAATCAGTTATAATGACAGGTGTGTGTGTGTGTGTGTGTGTGTGTGTGTGTGTGTGTGTGTGTGTATTTGAGTTGCCTAAATGTTTTGTCTTAACTTTTGGTTGCTCCAGGGTTCAGGAGGAGAGAGCTACATATTGGTGGGATACCTCAAACATCATAATCACTGCCATGTAGGCATCACAGAAAAAAAAAAAAACTAGTTGAAGTTAGTTATGAAGAAATGTGGTAGTGGTTTGACTTGAATTTCCACTAAGGAACATACCAAATTATCTCTTCCACAAGGACAGGTTTGTGGCTGGAATCTCTACATATGGCTCCTAAAACATGCCCACCATCAGTTGTTGGCATAGCACTGACTTTCTACCTCCTGGAAGAAGGAAGAGATGAGAAGGACAAGAAGGAGGCACGGGATACAGAAGATATATTCTTAAATTTTATTAATTCTTCAGATAGTTTACTTAGGGCTTACCATAAGGTGGGGCTCTGTACCCAATAACTCATTTTCAAATCTCTAATCTGCCTCCTACTAGCTATAAGATTTTCTGCAAATTTCTCAAGCTCAATTCTTTATTCATTTTTAAAATGGAAATAAAGTGGTATCATTTGGATCTAAAAATGCCTCCCTCCTGAAATTTCTCATTTTCTGAAGTGAGTCATTTGGAAGGTGATTTGATCATGAAGCTTTAACTTCATTGGTGGGTTAATCCAACGATAAGATCATGATTGGACAGCATTATTGGAAGGAGATGGAAGTAGGAAAAGGGACCTAGTTGAAGGTAGTGGGGTAGGGGCATGGCTTTCAGGATCTGATTTCCAACTCCTTTTGGTTCTTTTTCTACTTCCTGGATGACAGGCCCTTCATCCATGGTATTCTGCTTTGCCACAGTCCAAAAGCAATAGAGCTAGGCAAGCATGGGGTGAAAATATGAGACCAGCTTACTACTGCAGGATCTTTTGGTCAAGTATTTTGTCACAGCAAATAAACTAAGACAAAGAATATCTACCATATAGATGATTATTACAAAGATTAAATTAATTCATAACTACATAGTATACTGTACATAATATAGAGCATACCAAGCATGCAAAAAACATGCACTCACTTTTAACCATAAAGATCGTTTTCTAAGTAACACACCAATTTTCTCATTGTTGGGAAAACTGCAGCCAACACAATGGGTTCTGGAAGTTTCATTTAAGACTAAGATATAATACTCACTATGACTCAGTTTCTGTTCTTTCCTATTTTAACTCCCTGAGAGCTGTCAAATGATTGAAGAATTATGGATGTCAAAGGATCAAGACCAACACTGAAACTATATTTTAATAACATCTTTTTATTAATGAAATCAAATTATCTTGGTACATAAGCTTATCTCTTGTTCTAAATCTTACTCCATTCTCTGAGATGTTTTGATATTAAAATAATAAGTATTTTAAATTGAGGAAAATTTTGCAAAAATATATGCATTTTGGACAGGATAGTCAGAAAGTTGAGACTTCTTTACATCACAGCTCCAAAAGCATTGCACAGGCTCCAACTTGAAGCTGCTCCCTTTTGATGTAAGGAGGAGCGTTTTCATCAACGGAAGCCTCCAGTAACAGAAGATTCACTTTGATCACTCTCCAGACCGACCTTTTCAACTGTTAAAGCACAAGTGGGAAGAAATACACAAAAATATAGAGTTTTGGAATCTTTCATCAGTGATCTCCAACCCAAAGTAAGATGTATTACAGGGTTAGTTCCACTCCCACAAGAAGCATCTCCTGCTCAATATTGGTGAGGCCAAGGAAGGAAGATCAGTGTTTGAGTGGGAGTCACTCATCATTGAAAAAGCAGTGGCAGCATGACTTTAACTGGGAGTCAAAGTCCACGGAAGCCACGTGCTCAACAAGGTGGTTTTAGAATATCAGGAGAAAGATTTTCCACCATGGCAGACACCGACTTTGGTTATTCCCACTCACTGATTTCAGGTCAGGCTCTTCCTACTTCCTTACCAAGCACTGCTGAATGTAACATGTGGTATAAATGAATACATAGTAACTCTCAAGTAATTTGTTTCAACAATCTTAATAGTTATAATCATTTTTTTATTATAAAGGCAATAAAAATACCTGAAATAAAGAGAAATAAAACTACCTACTCTCGTCTATTTCCACAATAGTCATTTGAACTTATCTTTTCTAACTATTTATATTAAAATATGTGGACTATGGTGGGTTACATATTCTGTCAACCTCTTTATGTTTTATGTTAGACAATACCAATCACCTTTTAAATAGAAGTATGATTTTTTTTTTGCATAGGTGTTCTGTATGGAATTATATACATTCTCAGTATTGTGATACTTTTAAACTTCTTTTATTTTTGTTATTGAAAATAATAGTGCTCTGGACATTTAGTGTGCTTTAATACTTATATTTTGGGGGTTAACTTCCAGAAGCAGAGTAGCTGCAGCAAAGTGTGTGAACATTTTATGACTTTTGCTCTAAATGTTTTCACTCATCTGTGGGCTTGGCCTGAAGTTCACATTGTATGCAAATAGAAGAGCTACCCCTGCTTTCTCTCTGGGCTATTATCACATGGAGTATTGTTTTCTATCCTTTGACTTTTAGCCTTTGAATTTCTTTTTGAGTTAAATGTATTTATTGAATGCAGCATATTGTTGGATATTGTATCTTAATCCATTCTGCAAGTTTATTTATTTTAATGGGTGACTTGAGACTGTTCACATTGATGGTTATTAACTGAGATTATTGGTTTGTCCTTGTCAAGTTATTTTCCTATTGATGGTTTCCTGTCTTTCCCTTCTGTTTAATTGCTTGCTGTGCCTTCTTTCTACAGGTAATATTCAAAATTTTAAAATTAGTATATATTTCTAAAGTTAGAACATTATTTCTTACCAAGGGAAATGATGAATATTAAATTTATCATTATCATTTATTCCATAAATTAATTGTTTTTGTGAAACTTTGAGTCTGTCTCAAACTTATTATTCAAATTGTAGTAGATTAGTAATTTTAAAATAATCATTGTATTAGAGTTTTTTTTTTTGTTTGTTTGTTATTTTTAGGGAAGGGTCTACAGGCTGTTCAAGGTCTCACTACTAGATCCAACTGGTAGTGATCCTCCTGTTTACAGCCTCCCAAAAGCTGGGATTACAGGAGCACGCCACCATGCCCAGTCTCAATTGCTGTCTCAACACGTTCTGGGGGTGGGGCCGGCACAGGCCAGGAATTGAACCCTGGGCCCCTGCACCTGCTTGCAGGCACTTTAATCTGCTGAGCTATTTGGCTGGCCTAGGTTTTTTTTTTTATCATGTGAAATTTATATGACGAGTAGGGTTTATATTAAGCTTATCCCTTCAATTCTACTTATTTATATTTATGTTATGCATAAAGTTTGACCTTATTATTATTGCTAAGTTATTTTAAGGGCTGACCAGATAGCTCAGAAGACTAAAGCTCCTGTTTAGGCAGGCACAAGGACGAGGGTTCAATCTCCAGCGTGTTGGCCCTGCCCCCGGGGGCGTGCTGAGATGGACTGAGGTTGGGCATGGTGGCGCGTGCCTGTAATCCCAGCACTTGGGAGGCTGAAAATAGGAGGATCACTACAAGTCTGATCTGTGTAGTGAGACCCTGTAGACCCTGTACTAAATACATTTTAAAAAACCATAAGTTACTTTAATTTAGAAAGAGAGCTAGTAACCCTAAATCTTTTTTCATATTATTTTGGCAAGTATGTTAATTTTTATAGGTGAAACACAAAAGTTTCTAAGTATAATTTTGACTTTAATATGACTTAATATATTTGATACCAAACATGTTCATTAAAGGGATTCTTCAATATTCTAGATTAGAATATATACAGCTTCCCAGTATATATAGCTATTTTATAAAAGGTAAGTAAATAATCAAAATGACCCAAAGATCTATAACTCACCTAATGATTCTGATACAGAGGGCATTCCAAGTAAAGGTAAAAACTTTCCTGACCATCTCATCTTTTTCGCATCAACTGAAGTTCGAATAATTGCTACTTTTGTGAAATCTTCCATGCCCTGTATCTGAAATTTAATAGAATACAAAGTAATTTCTCAGTATATGCCATGCAACTAAATGTTTGTCTGTAACCCCCCTTTTGACATCAAGGAGAAAACTGAAATATCAATAAATTAATACTGACAAAACAGTTTTACTGACATGACAGTCTCAAAATTCCTTGATTGGTTTTGTGAAGGTCATTATCTTACACACTTTTATTGGATTTTATATTTATTTCTCTTTGAAATGAGAAAAAGAAGCAGTTCAATTATCCATAACATTTAAAAAGTCAAGCAGAGTTTTTTCCGTAAGACAGAAAAATCTTACTGAGAATGGATTCTAAGAAATCATTCAACTTGTGTTTTTCAATATGCTTTGACTCACATTGGTATCCAGATTTATAATGAGAAGGGTTGTGTCTAGGGCGGTAGAATTTGGCAGGTTTCAGGCTGCTTCAAGAATCTCTTGGTTGGCTGCCTAAATTCCCAACCAGCCCTCTACAAGCAAAGCTCCTTTATATGCTCAGTAATAGAGGTGTGGAGCATCCCAGCGAGGGCGTTTCTCTTCCTGTCTCAGGCATCACTCTTGGGCTGGGAGAGTCTACTTAGAGAAGATTTTGTGTCTTCTTCTCACCTCAGGAGCCCTCCATATCTAATACCATTTAATTTTTCTTTTTCTTTCATTTTTTCTTCTTTATGTAACACTTTTATTTTAGACACACCAGAAAATTATGCACTATTTTAAAGTTAATGTGTATGGACGACAAAAGAATCAACATTTCGCTGTAGCTTGGTTCACAGTACCCAAAGAAAATAGAAAGGAGGAAATGTGTATTTATACAACATCAATACATGAATACGCATTGCAGGGTAGAGGATGGAGTAAGAACACATAAAGAAGAGACTATTGCTTTCCAATACTTCAACTGTAACGAATGTCAACAAGGATGATATCAGAATAGAACTGATTTGTATAGCAATTCAACAAAATTCTGTCAAAACTCATTTTCAAAAGTTTTCTTTCAGTGGCAAACCAGTTTGAGTAATCTCTGAAGTTATTGTTCGCTGACAACTCACTTAACTCAGGGTTTAAACTCTCTAGAGCTAAATAATAAATTATGAGCAATTATTCCCTTTCATGGTAAAATATGCTACATGTTTTATTAAAAGCACATATACCAGTGGTCAGTATGAAGACTATAGTATTCAGAAATACCAAGACCATTGTCAAAGAATTTGGTACTTAAATGAAGAGTCAATATCCTAGAAATTCATTAACTAGTAAAACATACACATTTGAGTATTGAAACTGATTCGGCCACGTCTGAAAAAGCCCCACCTATGACTGCATGAAGGCTGGGAGGACAGAGGTGGGTGAATCTAATCTGTGATTGACTCAAGGTGCAATGCTAGGATTAAGGGTGCTAGGATTAAAGGTGTATGATCAGTCCACTAATTGATTGGGCACTGCCCTAATCCCAGTAGCCTAGATAGAATATAAAAATGTCAGGAAAATGCTGCTAAGGCCCCTTGCTTGCTTTGCCACCTTCTGCCCACCATAAACATTCTCCCTTATGATGCTCATTTACCATGCCACCTTCCCTTCAAGCTAAAAATTGTGAGCTAAATAAGCCTTCACCTTTAAAAAATATTGCAATAACATTAAAGATTTGAAGTACAGTGTCAACAATTTGAAGGTGTTGAGACTACACAAAAGTTATTGTAGAAGTGATTTTTTTGACCTAATTTTCTGATAATTTTTTGTTTTGCTTGATTGAAAGCCAGGGCCTCATGAATACTAGGTAAGAACTCTACCATTGAGCTACACTTCCAGACTTATTTTAAAGTTCTTAAAGTAATTATCTGATATTGTATAACAAATGTTATCCAGAAAATACAAAAATAAAATTTAACTAAATGTTTTAACCTTATATATTATATAATAACACACATAAATTTTACTTTATATTATCTTCACATGTACTTTTGCGACACATTGGAACATATGGATGAACAGATAATCACAAAAAAGGTTTTCCATTCAATAGTTGAACATTAAATCATATTACACTATATTATATTGATCTTTTTCAATAATTTGATTGAGAAACAAATAACAATGAGACAGTTTCAAATCTGACTAGTAGGACAGTTTCAGTAATTAAGACACTGCATATTGTTGTCTTAGTGGTTATTCATTGTACAAGATGCAGACATGATATCCTGTTTACAAACTCAATTAGAACAAATCTTTCGGGCCAGGGAGGTGGCTCAGTGGGATAAGCGCTTCCCTGGCAAGCGCAAGGGCCTGAGTTCAATCCCTGGTTCTGCCAAAAATAAAAAAATAAAAATAAATAAACCTCCGCTTTGGGGCCGGGGAGATGGCTCAGTAGAATAAGTGCTTGCCTGGCAAGCACAAGGGTCTGAGTTCAATCCCGGTTCCGCAAAACAACAACAACAAAAATCTTTCTATTCATTTAATTAAGAGAAAGTAGCTGTATATCTATCCTATTTTGTGTATACAGATGCAAAATGGTCATTAATTTGTATCCACTTTTTTGTTTAGTTTTGTCAGAGATGGGTATTACATTGCCATTTAAAATGTTACAGGTACATGAATTCAGCAAATATTCCAGTGTAGTCCAGTAGTCCATAATAGGAGGGTTTTTCCTAAGACTGGCTATGTCAGAAGTTGTTGGCATGAGCCTTTTACAGCTCAGCATATTAATATGGCTTTACTTTTTTTTAAATAAATTATCTCTCTTTTTTAATTTTTATTTTTATTTTTTCAAATTGGTAGGACAGTTTCAATAATCAATACATTGCATACATTCTTACCAGTGATTAATTGCTGTACAAGATGCGGACATGATATCCTATTTACAAACACCATCAGAACAAATCATTCTATTCATTAAGAGAGTGTAACTATATATCTATCCTAACCACTTTGAATACACAGATACAAAATGGACATTAATCTGTATCCCCTTTTTTTTGTTAAGTTCCATTATTTGAATATTATAGGTGTGTAAACTCAGCAAAATATTCTAAAAGA